CTCCTTTGAGTGTCTCAGGGAACTTCAGCTCACAGTGAGTGGATGTGCCTGACACTCCTTTGAGTGTCTTATTGTTGAATGAATTGGGCCATTTTTCTCTTTTGGGGCATGTGGGATGGGGTGAGATGAGGCAATGTCTATCTACAAAGGTCTGGCTGTCCTGGAATTCACTATGTAGATCAGACTGGCCTCAAACTCAGAGATCTCTGGCCTCTGCTGGGAAGAAAGGTGTGTGCCACCATGTCCGGCAACTTGGGTCATTCTGAATACTCAAAGAGATGCAACTTTCCCTGTACAGAGGCTGTCTACTCCACAGCCATTTCTGCTTTTTTTTTTTTTTTCTCCTTTTTAACGTATTAACTGTTAATCTTGGTTGTCAGGTTGCCTGGGATCAACTAAGAGACATGCCTATGGGTACATCTGTGTGAGACTTTTTTTTTTTTTTTTTTTTTTTTTGAGACAGGGTTTCTCTGTGTAACCCTGGCTGTCCTGGAACTCACTCTGTAGACCAGGCTAGCCTCGAACTCAGAAATCCGCCTGCCTCTGTCTCCCAAGTGCTGGGATTAAAGGCGTGCACCACCACAGCCCGGCTTGTGAGGGACTTTCTTAATTAGGTTAATTGACATGGGAGATCCACTGTAAATGTGGGTAGCAGCTGCTGGCGACAACCCAGGTATTCTGAGATCTGAGGGAAAAGCTTTTGCTTTTCTAGTGTTTGGCAACCCATTCCACAAGTAAATTGGCATGCTGTGCTGTGATTTATCTTGTGAGCCTGTCCCTTTAAGAATTCTTAGCTGTTAGAACTGCTTGACTCTATCACCTTCAGTGCTGGTTACCTCTTGAATTTCTGGGAACAGGGGAGTGTCAATGGCTGGCTTTGGCATCCATGTGGTGGGTAAACTGAGGCAGGCAGCTTTTGGGGATCAGTGCTTAGAGCTGCTGCTGGGGTTGGATCCAACATACAGGGGCTGCTGTCAAAGGCAGCCAGGGACTAGAGAAGTAACTCAGCAGACTTTTTTTCTGAGGGAACAAAGCTTAATTTACTGGATCTGGCACTCTCTGTGACCAGCAGAGAAACTAGGAACTCTTTTAACTCCTTGGAGCCTGGGAGAAAGAGAAGGAAAGAGAGAAAATTCTTACACACACACACACACACACACACACACACACACACACAGAGTGGATGAAACAAAAGACATACACACAATTTACACACACACACACACACACACACACACACACACGCATACAGATATACAGACCGTGTTTTGTGTTTTATAAAAAAGAGACAGAGGATATGTTTGTAGAGCTAGGTATGGTGAGGTGTGGGAGGGGTTGCCTCTGTGGGCCATGCTAAAGAATCCCTCCCCCCTGAGGTATCAGCCATTTGATGGGTATAGTGTAGAATAGAGTTTATTTAGGACATGGGAAGAGGAGTTGGAAAGGAGAGAGGGAGGGAGAGGGAAAGAGAGGATAGGAAGAGGGAGACGGAGAGACCAGCCAGGAACATGAAGGGGGGAGGGAGAGAGGAAGAAGGCAGTCAGGGAGAGAAGGGAGTCAGAGAGAATAGAGTAAGGACTGGGAAAGCAGCCCCTTTTATAGTAAGACAGGCCTACCTGGCTGTTGCCAGGTAACTGCTGGGTAGAGCCTAGAAGAAATGCTAACAGGCAGACATGTACACATTCACACAGAGAATGGTTAGAGCAAAGCTCCAGCAAGCAGGCTCCAAGAATTTCACACATACACATGCATACATATACACACAATTGGTGGACAGAGTGAGATCCAAGCCATACCCAGACAAGCTTTACACATATACATACTACATACATGCACACAGTTGATGGATGGAAGGGACAGTGTTCCAACCCCCATTTGCACAAACTTTACACATTTCTTTATTTTAAAGATTTATTTATTTATTTATTTATTTATTTATTTATTATGTATACAGAGTTCTATCTGCATGTATGCCTACAGGCCAGAAGAGATCATCAGATCCCATTACAGATGGTTGTGAGCCACCATGTGGTGCTGGGAATTGAACTCAGGGCCTCTGGCAGAGCAGTCAGTGCTCTTAAGTGTTGGAGGAGTCAGACATCTCTCCAACACTTTAAAAGTAATCTTGTAAAAATGTTAGCCGGGCGGTGGTGGCGCACGCCTTTAATCCCAGCACTTGGGAGGCAGAGGCAGGTGGATTTCTGAGTTCGAGGCCAGCCTGGTCTACAGAGTGAGTTCCAGGACAGCCAGGGCTACACAGAGAAACCCTGTCTCGAAAAACCAAAAAAAAAAAAAAAAAAAGTTAAAAGAATCACAAATCTAAACTTTTATATAAAAAAAATCAGTCATATCTACTGTAAATCCTCAGAATGCATATCTACCCATCAGCAATTCTTAATAAATCATATCAGGAAGTTGAGGGCAAAAATGCATATAAGAAATCAATCATCACCAGTCCAGCCTCAGTGAGAGTCATGTCAGCCAGTGCTGCCATTGTTCTTGTCCCTGACCATAAAGGGTTCCTAGCTTAACTAACTACTAAGAGTGTGCCTTTCTGAACTTCATATTGTTCCCTGTGATTTTCTATATCAGAGCCAGTGATAAAAACATCTCAACCTGGCTTCACTAACAACTTTATTTTTCCAAATGTTTTCTAAGTGTAGAGGTCACTGTTGTCAATCTTCATGTCTAAGTTCTTCTCTGGGGTGGTGATTGAATCATTAATCTTTTCCAGCAGCAATGCCTGAAAGAGATCAAGTATTATTGTTGTGAGTGCCAGAGACATTGCCCAGTGAGGGACTTGAAGCCCCCTTAGAGTTTTCATAATTTTTAGATTAAAAGAGATGTGAGGGCAGCAAGCAGAACAGAACTCCACAACAGCATGGAGTCCTCAGGACACATGGTTGGTCCTCAGGGCCGTGCCACACTGAGGCCCACCCATGGGGCTGTGGTAATCTGTGGGCTGCAGTCCATGAGTTCTAAAGCCACCTGTAGTTCCTCCTGCAGGGCCCTCGGCAGGAAAGGATATGAAAAAGCCAGCAGAGGGTGAGGAAGAGGATTGGGTTAGCAGAGGAGGAAGAGAAGGCAGTTGGTGCAGGAGGTCCGTTAGGAGACAGTTGAGGTGGAGAGGCTGAGCTGGGCAGACAGACTGCAACTGCTGGGAGATAGGACTGTCTAAGCAGACTGTCGGGGAAACTGAGAGAGGAACGGTTGAGAGAAACATATGAGCTGGGAGATAGGACTGTCTAAGCAGACTGTCGGGGAAACTGAGGGAGGAAAGGTTGAGAGAAACATATGAAAGGGTTGAACCAGAAACTGAGAGGAGGGCTGGCAGGGAGTTAAGAGAACTGACTACTGTTTGTTAGAAAAGGAGATATTAAAAGAAAAATTAAAACAAAACACAAAACTCACATTTTACAATATGCCTTGCTTTCAAATCCACCTACCCTGCTGCTGCCGTTGCCGACACCCACCTCCAGAGAGCCTAGCTTCTTCTGCCTTTCACTGTGGACTGAAGACAAGCGGCTTGCCAGCAAGTTCCTGACCTTCGGCACCAGGCCGGGACTGCTGAGGTTCCTAGTCTTGTGGACTGAACTACCCGCTCTCAGCCTTCCCATTGTAAAAAACAGCCATTGTCGTAGTGCTCAGACTGAATCATGTAAGCCAACCTAATAACTGCCACCTTCAATCAGTTCTAATTCCCTGACTTAATACAATAACAAAACATGATCTTTCTCAGTATATGATAATCAAGAGATTTAGGGAAGGTTAGAGCTTTTCTGGCACCAGGAAATCATTTTCAGTTAGCTTAAGCCAGAAGTTCTCAAAGCTGAACTATAGCAGAGTCACCTGGAGAGCTGGGTCTCTCTCTCTCAAAGTTTCTAAGTTTGAGAGGGCCTGATAACCTGCATCTCCAGCAAGTTTCTAGGTAATGCTGATGCTGACTTTGAGAACCACAGCTCTAAGGCAGTCATAGGATTCCACTCTCCTGCCAGTCATTGTGCCGATCACATGACATGACTGAGGACAGCAAATCGAAATCTGCTGCTTTCTGAGGTACAAGGATTGGTGAGTTCTCTGGCAGTCTTTGGACACAGTGCTATATAACCACACACTGCCAGGAACTACTGCACTCAGCTTCAGCATGTTTTCACATGGAAAGTGGCTGACGTGCTGAAGAGAGCAAGGCAAAGAGAAGGAAGTGTCTGCGTTGCTGTGGACACTGTGGTAGGCTAGAGGCTGCTGCAACAGCAGATTACAATGATGGAAGGTATGTTCCTTAAATAGAAAAAAGCAAGACCACCCAGAACTGACTGGGGCCCAGCAGAGATGGCAACCGTCATTTGCTTCATCAGAATGATGTCTCTATATGATTAGCCTTGTAAAATGCCCTTTTCCCTTCATGCATTGGTTGCTATGTCATATCTGAAATCTCCATATAAGGACAGAAATGGGTAGTAGCCCTGTTGGGAAAATGAAAGGGATCCCAACTCATTCCTGCGGTTCCCTGATTTTTTTCCTGCCTTAGCTCATGAGTACTTTTTCCTGCATTAAAGATTGCCCTAAAAAAGCTGCCCAAAATTCTGTGCAGTGTGACCATTTCTGAGGGCCCTCACCCACTGCTTGAGTGTGCACTTTCGTTCTGAAATGAACTTCCTCCTAATTCCTTACTTTGCTTCATTAAAAAAAAATTTTTTTTCTGATGATGATGAGAGACTAGAAACACTGGGTAGAGGTTTTGGTGTTTTCTCTCTCTCTCTCTCTCTCTCTCTCTCTCTCTCTCTCTCTCTCTCTCTCTCTCTCTTATTCTTCTCTCTCTGTGACTTCCCCAGCTTCACCACCAGCAACAATATTATTATATGTATAATTTATTTATATTTATATGTATAATTTAACATGTTTAAGAAACTTGCTATGCCACATGGTAAAGCCATTTTTAGAATTTAAGCTGTTTGCTGGCATTTGCTATGGGAAGCCACCTAGTGGTGCTCGCTTCCAGTAGTCAAAGACTCTAGTTAACACTGCAGAGTCTAGAGGGTCTGGGTCTCCAGACCCCAGGCTGAGGGTTATAATGCTGGCCAGTACCAAGCACTAAGGAATCCCTATTTCTAGATCACCGTAAAGGCTGAAACTTTGGCTTCTGTCAAGACTGAAGGATAGAAATATGTAGAACTAACTAAAAACTACACATAGCCATAATCTCAATTTTTCTAGAAGCACAAAAGGGTGCCGTGTTAGGGTACCAATTTCAGAGGCCTGCACAAGGACTATGCCACTAGAGGGCACTGTTCACTGCTGCGAAGCTCTGGAGGAGAGGAAGCCTGCTAGAGCCTTGGAAAGCAGATCAGCTCACTACGATGCCCCAACCCTGGAAAGCCTTATTAATCCCTAGACAATGAGCCTTGGTGGCAATCCTTTGCCTGGGACCTACTCTTGCTATACAAGAGCTCTGCTTGCCTCCAATCTCTTGAACTCTTACTTATAAACCTATAAGAAGCGTTATAAACACACCCTCCTGTTGTTGCCTGTGAAACTCATGCTTTGAGTGTACAGAGACAAAGAACCCAGATACCTGAGATGGAAAAGCCTCCATTTCTCTCAAGGACTTCCCACATTCCCATGAACCAATGCAAACGGCTAAACTTTCTTGAACCCTTTAGCTTTAGGAAGGCAGAGCAGTCATCTCGTAGGCAGAATGTCAGAATGAGATGAAAGACCTCTGTTGCATTTTTGAGAGTGAGGAGTGTAGCATAGGGAGATGCAGGTAGAATATAAAACGGTATTTGCACATCACCGTTGTGTGTCTTACAGGCAGTGATGAGCTTGGGCTTTATCCCAAGGTCATGGGGTGCCACTCATCATTTTAAACAGCAAAGTGGACTTGGGAGTTAAGACTATTCTGGTAACAGACAGGTTGAGAAGTAAGATTGAGGGAAAGACAAGTTAGGTTGTTGCAATGGTTCTAGTGGCAGATGAAAGTTATTTAAGGAGGAGGAAATGGTTTAGTAAGATTAGCAAGGAGAACTGTCAAAAATTTGATGTGAGTTTTGAAAGAAAGAACCAACCATGATGTCTTAGTTAGGGTTTTACTGCTGTGAGCAGACACCATGACCAATGCAAGTCTTATAAGGACAACATTTAATTGAGACTGGCTTACAGGTTCAGTGGTTCAGGCCATTATCATCAAGGCAGAAGCATGGCAGCATCTAGGCAGGTATGGTACAAGCAGAGCTGAGAGTTCTATATCTTCATCTGAAGGTTGCTAGTGGAAGACTGACTTCCAGGCAGCTAAGAAGAGGGTCTTAAAGCCCACATCCACAATGACACACCTACTCCAACAGGGCCACACCTTCTAATAGTGCCACTCCCTGGGCTGAGCATATAGAAACTATCACACATGACATCTGGGTTTCTGGCTTAGGAGATGTCATTCTTCTAGGTGGGAAGATGATGAAAAGAAGTTTGGCTGGGGTGGAGTTAAGGGAGAGGCATAGGTATTTTGAATCTGGAGTGTGATCAACTGGAAGCTGGAAAAGATGATTCTATAACAGGTACTTAGAACTCATTTGCTAAAAACCATTGACTCCTTTGGCCCCACGTGGTAATGGAAAGCAGTATAAAAAGCCTGGCATGTCTGCCTTTGTTCTGAATTCTCCTAGTTCACTGCTTCATAGCCACAGTAATTGGAGTGTCCATGGTAAAACGGGTTGTGCCTAACCTGCCTCATCCTTCTTCAAGGCTGGAGACACAAAAGTAAGATTAATTGAAACCCTCTTTTTACAATGTCCTGTTCCGAAGGAGCCTAAAGGTGTCTAGTCCTTGTACTAAACTTATGACTGTCCTGGATTCCAGGAATAGCAAAGCTCCTTGGAAAGACTGCCCACACTATAGAGGAAGAGAGTTTTCTCTGATGACAAAGATCTCCAAGAGGAAGTGATCATCTTGTAAGAATCAGACCTATCTGTTTAAAACTACTGACTTTGCCCCGGAACACGGCCGTGCTATCAGCCCCTCCTGGTTTCCCTTTTGTTCCACCCACCTTTGTTCTGGGAGGTGACCGAGCCACCAGCTCCCTCCTGGTCCCCTTGAGTCCATGGATAAAAGACACACACACAGTTTGTTCATCTACCATTTCCCTTCTAGGCACAACTGCTGGGTGTTATTATCTCCTGCCTGGAAAAGCGTGCAATTTATTGTCTCCATCTTTCCATTTGCCCTAAACTTCAGTGACTAGTCCTACTTAGCCCCTTCTAAACATCCTTGTTCATCTTTCAAGATAGAGGAGGCCATACATCCAAGCTCCCCCCTCCCCACAAGCCTTCTTCTTCCTCCAAAGCAAGGCAAAAAAGACACCGTTTCTCCTTCTTTTCATCTCCCTTTCCTCCTGGAACCGGAAGTCCCACCTGTACATTCCGGCCAGCAATTGTCCCCTGGCCACCTTTACTGACAAATCAAGAACCAATCAAGAACCAATTGGAGAACAGGACTTTAACATCAGAACCACCCCTTCACCTATCCTTTTCGTAATGTTGGTAACTATGGCTTTGGCCCACTATGTAGAGTCAGAGTGCGAGAATGGTAAAGCAGACATCTTGACCACGAAGGCTTGTTTAACCATACGGTCCTCCTGCTCTCTGCCTCAGAGCCTCTTCTATTTAGACCAAAGCTCGTGTCACTTCCCTGGAGCCAGAGTCCTGAACCAGACGCTTTGTTCCTTTCCCTTCTGTCTTCCCGTTTACCAAT